GCTACTTAATTAGAAACACATTCATTTCAGTGTATACTGGAGAAGGCTGGGACAGCACAGCTAGGCACGCAGGGAAGTTGAGCATTTGTGCAGCTTGCAGCTGGTTTGCACTTGGAGTATAAAATTGTTGGGTATTTCCTTGCTCCTGGAATGCAGTCGTTAGAAAAGAAGCAGTATGTGTAAAGGAAATATCTATTTCCTGAAATTAAAACATGCAAAATGACAAACAAATACCCTCCAATTTGATATTTCCCATGTAAGCCTTGAACTTTAGTGTGTATACCTAGTAATATGGCAAAAGCTGCAACATACAGGAGAGTGGTTTCGAACACTACTGCTAACTTGTAGACCTCCTAGTGAATCGTGAACCCCAGAATTCTTACTGAGTGAGTTTCTGAGGTGGCAATCTCTCTGGTAAGTGGGAACTCACTGTAAGATACTGCGTTGGGGCAAAATGGGAAAAAACAGGAGTGTTCTTACTGGGGTCCCCAAACTTCATTGATGTGCAATATGCTACTTCATCACTTCAATGAGACCTAGAAATTTTGTTGTAGGATACTGAAAATTCATATATAATGTCTCTTTAGAAGGTAATCAAAAATTTTGGTTGTGTACTGTCCAGGGCAGAGGCTGCCTCTGTCTGTGTTAGTATGGCACCTAGCACAATAGGGCAGCAATCCTGATGTGGCCTTTTGGTGCTAAACTAATATGAAGGATTGAGAAGATCAACATACAAATTAGTCAAACTATTTGTATAGTGTTGAGACAAAGAAGTAATACATAAGATTTTAATAGCATCTTCTATTAATGCTTCCAACACTACATTTTTATGAGCTTCTGTCTATTCTTCATAAGAAGACACTATAGTGGTTATTTTACAATTCCTGTCACTTTTATTTAAGATTAAAGATGAACTAAACTTGCGTGAATCTACAATAATTTAACATCCAAAATCAAATTAGTATAATTTTACCCTGTTTTTCTGATAAAATAAGATGTGTGCCTATGTTGTTGTAGCCATGTTCGTGCCAGGATATTAGACAGACAAGGTGGACGAGGTAATACATCTTTTATTGGACCAACTTCTGTTGGAGAAATGTATAAACTTTTGAGCTATACAGAGCTCTTCTTCAGGTCTGGGAAAGATGCTCAGAGTGTCACAGCTAAATAGAAGGTGGAACAGATTGTTTAGCATATCTAACACACATTTTAAGGGACGATTCAAGGTGAAGTGGCCCGTGAGCACCTCTGCAGCCAGGGGACAAAAAAGCGGCAGGTTAGTGGGTTACAGATTGTTGTAATAAGCCATAAATCCAGTCTGTTTATTAAGAGCATGATTTTTAGTGTCTAGCAAAGTTATATATTTTAGCTTTCAGGCTCGTCTTTTGAAGGTGATGTGCAGGTTTCCTTTGAGGACGAGGACTGAGAGATCAGATATGGAGTGATTGTTCTGATTGTGAAAGTGATTGTGAAATGTGTTCGCCCACAGGTGATATGGTGTTTGTCTTTTATCATTTTTCTGTGTGAGTTCATTCGAGAGCATAGTGGTCGTCTGGTTGCACCCACATGGTTGTTGTTGGGGCATTTAGAGCCCTGGATGAAGTACATTACATATTGTGGTAGGCATGTGTAGGACCCATGGATCTTGAAAGGTGTCTTGTGAGGGGTACTGATCATTGTAGCAGGGGAGATATATCTGTAGGTTTTGCATCTGTTATGGCAAGGAAGTGACATCTACATTCTGAGCAAATGCAAGAAGCAAAATCTCATCTCTCTAACCACTACATGTGACTTCAAATATGCTGTACAGCTCTACAGAAGGATTTCAGAAAAACCGAGAAACAATTTCCTGCACCTCACATGCTCCAGAAGGGACCACCTCATACAAGAAATCATCATACACCCACACCCTGGAAAGAAAAAATCAGGAAACCTACCTGGAGGTCATGCAAGAAACCCAAAACAACTATCCAAAAAGCCTGATGACAGCCATTCAACCAAATACAAAAAGGGGAATAAACTACAACTCTGCAATGCACAGAACTTCACCTCTAGGATAAACTGTGGCACCAGGACCCACTACATGGACATTATATAGACCCCAACATCATCAGTTTATCAAAAGTACTCCTCACTGGAGCTGAATGATTCATATTCTCCAAGGGACTGATCTTCTGCCCCGCCACAGAACCTGATACCATACTAACATGTGGAGAACTAGAAGAATTCTTTCACCAACTCCATCTCAGCGAATTATTTCACAACAACGACTTCATCACCCACAACTACTAGGTCCCACCAACAATCATCAGAAAAAAGCATGCCCTGACTGGACACCCCACAGTGGATGAAACCACACACTTGATCATTACATTGATTGCTTCATGAAAAAAATTGACTGTGAAAACTTTAACAAACATCACATCCACTACAGGCTCTCCACTGCCGAGAGGACAGCTGTACAGTTCCTGAAATCCAAGCACCAAATAGTGACCAAACAGCAAATAAAGCGGTGATGGGCGGCACCATCATAGTTCTCAACCACGATGACTGCATTAATGTGGCCAACTGACAACTTTCTGACTCCACCTGCTATAAAGAATTCAGAGACGACTCCACAGCCCAGTTTGCCCAGGAATTTAAGGATATCTTCAAATCCTTCCCCAAACAACTCTAAGAGAAATTCTACAACCTCATCCCTCATAAACCCATCCCAGGAATCTTCTACATGCTTCCCAAGATACACAAATAAGGGAACCCAGGCAGACCCACCATTTCTGGCCATGGCACTCTAACTGAAGAAATATCAGGACTCATAATAGAAACCATCCTCAAACCAATCGTCACAATAGAGTCAGCTTCCTCCAAGATACAATTGACTTCCTCCAAAAACTCTGCAATATTAACAGCCTTGCTCAGAATACTGTCCTTGCCACCATAGATGTCACCTCCTTATACACCAACATCCCTCACAATGACAGTATCACTGCCTGCCTCAAATATTTACAAGACAATGGACAAAACTCAGATATCCACCCCAAACATTGCTAAAATCGTCAATTTCATCCTCACCGATAAAAATTGTACAGTCGGCAACAAACACTTTGTGGAAACTATGGGAAAAGCACTGGATACTAGGATGGCTCCCCAATATACCAACCTCTTCATGGGCCACCTGAAGGAAAAATTTCTGGACATATGCACTATAAAACCAATGATATACCTGAGGTACATCAATGATGTTTTCATCCTCTGGACAAACGACCTAAACTGCCTCACAGATTTCTACCACAATTTTAACAACCATCACCCATCCATCAAACTGTCTCTAAAACACTCCCACACCAGCATCAACATCCTGGACACCAGGATCAGCTTCAAAAATGGAACTCTACAGACAACTATAGACAAGAAACCCAGGATCACCACACTTCACAGGTCCAGTAACCACCCAAACGCACCAAGAAATCTGTTATCTACTCCCAGGCCCTCAGATACCACAGAATATACTCCAAGGAGAAAGTCTGGGATATGCACCTTAACAAACTTAAAACTGTCTTTACCAAACAAGGACATTCCAGCAGAGATGTAGATCACATCGTGGAATGGGCCACCCAAATACCCAGACAGAACCTGCTTTAATACAGAAAAAAAACCACTTTCTCACTGCACCCCCACCTTCGTTGCCACTTCCACTCTCCACTGGAAACTATACAGCATATCATTAAAGAGTTATAACTCATACTCAATGGGGACTACATCCCAAATGAAATCTTTCCTGAATCTCCTATTCTGGCCTTCAAACAAGCCCCAACCTCACCAGGCTTATTATCAGAAGCAAGCTCCCCACAGACCAGGACACACCAACTCAAAGTGGCACCGGACCCTGCCATCATAACAGATGCAAAATCTGCAGACATATCTCCATTGGTACAATGATCAGCACCCCTCCACAACACACCTTCAAGATCACATGCCTATTACAGCATGTGGTGTACCTCATCCAGTGCATTAAATCTCCCAACGCTACTATGTGGGTGAAACCAGACAATTACAATCCTCTTGAATGAATTTATGCAGAAAATGGGTTTAAAAAGGCACTAAGTTTATTATACCAATGGTTGCTTAGGGCAAAATTCTGCACTTAGATATAGGTGTGTAACTCCCATCAGGCACACAGAATGTTAGCTCTTCGATGAATGAGCTAATTTACTCCATCTTTTGTACTGTGCTGAGCACATTTGTCGGCAGTCAACAAACAGGTTATTATAGGTCCATCAGTGGTTATTAGCCAGGATGGGAAGGGATGGTGTCTCTAGCCATTGTTTGCCAGAAGCTGGGAATGGGTGACAGGAGATGGATCACTTGGTGATTTCTCTTCTGTTCATTCTCTCTGTGGCACCTGGCATTGCCTACTGTTGGAAGACCGGATACTGGGCTAGATGGACTGGTTTCTGCTGTTTTCTATAATATGTGAGTCTGTATCAGGATCTATTGAATTCAGCAATAAATAAATATTAAAATGCTCTCTTCTTGGCATGCATAGGCCAAAGGATCAAGAGCTTGTCCTATTGCATGGTATATATAAGTAATTTAACCACATAGTGTTTCATATGGGCAAACCTCTCTAAATGACATTATTTGAAGAGTAGATCCACAGATGTCCATGATGTCATTCTGGGTGTACTCATAATAAAATAATAATATGTTTGGTAGCTTCCCTCCTTTAACTGCTGTTTTTTAGTAATGGCAACTTCACCTTGCAAGCTACAGTGGAAAAATTATTAAATTAGAGACAGTGGCTTTCAAATTAAGAGATAAGACTTCAAAATAAAAGTGACCTTTTTTGGCTCAAATTAAATGTTGCATCTGGATTTCTCTTTTTAAATAAAATTTAATCCTGTATACATGTTACCTATATTACAGCTGGCTTTTTAAGTGTATGTTAATAATCCCCAGCATTATCTGAATATAAATGAGCTGTTTGTTTCTCTTCACAGTGCCCCGATGCCCTACCTCATTGGAATACATTTAAGTTTAATGGAGGTAAGTCTCTCCCCTCGTCCCTCAGAGTAGTATGTATTGTTGTGATTTAGGCCCTACTCCTGCAAACACTTACATACATGCTTAACTTTAAGCATGTGATTGAAACTAAACATGTGCCTAAATGTTTGCATCACGGGAGCCTAATTTGGTTGCTTGCACTCTTCTGCCAAACTCGTGAATACACTTTGGGTACTGTTTTCAACCCAGTGGTCAGAGTCTAGCACATCTGCGTGTGTGTGAGAGACACAAGACAGACAGACAGACGTGGCGTGAACCCTGTTGTTTCATGTGACCAATTTACTACTATTGAATGTAACTCTATCAGAGTGGATCAGGCTTGATTTTTTAACAACAATATTGACCATCTCTACTTTGCTTTTTAAGCTTTTATAGATTTGATGATCATTAGTTTCTGATGCTCAAGATGATAGGTCCAGAAGCAGGGATCTTACCATCAGTAAATAAAACCTGGCCTTCTTGCAGGATTTAGGAACATGTAAAACAACTGGAAATAATCCCCAAGCACCATGGAATCTAATTTGCAAAGGAACCCATGGAAGCAAATCACCCAACTCCCACTGTTTTCAATAGGGGGTGCAGAACCTAGGGCTCCTTTGAAAATCCTAGCCATAAGGTAATATTTTCAAAAGTGCCTAAATGTCATTTAGATGGTTTTAGAGAGATAAAGTGGATGGAATTAATGTCTTTTATTGAACAGAAGTTGGTGCAATAATAGATATTACCTCATCCACCTTGTCTCTCTAATATCCTGGAACCAGCATAGCTACAACTACACTGCATGCTTAGATTGTTTTGAATATTTGTCCTTAGTACTGTTTAACAGGGCCAGTCTGAAAGCCATATGCAGTGGGAGTGGGGAAATATTGCTGCTTGGAAATCAGGGGAAGCTAAACACAGGTTAGCATTTTCAAGTTAGTAGCAGTGGCTGATGCTCAACACCTTTGACAATCAGTCCACTTAGGTGTCTAACTTTAAACACCAGAGTTGAAAATTTGGACTATACTGTGTACGATATCTTACAACATACAATCACTTAGTCATACACCTCATAAAATAGTGTGTAATACAATAACATTTGGAACCTACATCAAAAACTGGTAACTTTGCCATACAGACAGCTGTCTCTTTTGGGTATATGACAGCAATAATCATCCAGGCTACTGTCCTGCTAAGAGCCTAAACCCCCAGACTATGCCATTATATATATGTTGTTCCAGTCATATTGTGCAAAAAGCAGCTTCTGGGCAATTTTTCTGTGTTGCATTAAGCAGAAAAAATCAAACAAATGCTACATTTTAAGAAAGTTTAATAGAATCATAGAATATCAGGGTTGGAAGGGACCTCAGGAGGTCATCTAGTCCAACCCCCTGCTCAAAGCAGGACCAATCCCCAACTAATGTTCCAGCTGTTTGCTTGAAAGTAGCAAACTATTATCTGGGCTCTGAACTCAGTCTCCCCAATTGATAAACAACTTGAATTAAGAACATAAGAACAGCCATACTGGGTCAGACCAAAGGTCCGTCTAGCCCAGTATCCTGTCTTCCAACAGCGGCCAATGCCAGGTGCCCCAGAGGTAAGCATCAAGTGATCCATCCCCTGTCAGCCATTCCCAGCTTCTGGCAAACAGAGGCCAGGGACACCATCCTGGCTAATAGCCATTGATGGACCTATCCTCCACAAATTTATCTAGTTATTTTTTAAACCCTATGGTAGTCTTGGCCTTCACAACATCCTCTGGCAAGGAGTTCCACAGGTTGACTGTGCGTTGTGTGAAAAAATACTTCCTTTTGTTTGTTTTAAACCTGCTGTCTATTAATTTCATTTGGTTATGAAATTACCAAATTACCCTGGTTCTTGTGTTATGAGAAGGAGTAAATGATACTTCCTTATTTACTTTCTCCACACCAGTCGTGATTTTATACACCTCTATCATATCCCCCCTCAGTCATCTCTTTTCCAAGCTGAAAAGTCCCAGTCTTATTAATCTCTCCTCATACAGCAACTGTGCCATGTCCCTAATCATTTTTATTGCTCTTTTCTGACCCTTTTCCAAGTCCAGAATATCTCTTTTGAGATGAGGTGACCACATCTACATGCAGTGTTCAAGATGTGGGCATACCATGGATTTTTATAGAGGGAATTTGGTATTTTGTGTCTTCTTATCTATCCCTTCCTTAACGATTCCCAACATTCTGTTCGCTTTTTTGACTGCCGCTGCACATCGAGTGGATGTTTTCAGAGAACTATCCACAATCGCTCCAAGGTCTCTTTCTTGAGTGGTAACAGCTAATTTAGATCCCATCATTTTATATGTATAGTTGGGAGTATGTTTCCCAATGTGCATTACTTTGAATTTATCAACATTGAATTTCATCTGCCATTTTGTTGCCCAGTCATCCCGTTCTGAGAGATCCTTTTGTAGCTCTTCACAGTCTGCCCAAGACTTAACTATCTTGAGTAGTTTTTGTATCATCTGCAAATGTTGCCACCTCGCTGTTTACCCCTTTTTCCAGATCGTTTATGAATATGTTAAATAGGACTGGTCCCAGTACAGACCCCTGGGGGACACCACTATTTACCTCTCTCCATTCTGAAAACTGACCATTTATTCCTACCCTTTGTTTCCTATCTTTTAACCAGTTACCAATCCATGAGAGAACCTTCCCTCTTATCCCATGACTGCTTACTTTGCTTAAGAGCCTTTGGTGAGGGACTTTGTCAAAGGTTTTCTGAAAATCTAAATATACTATTATCAGCTGGATCCCCCTGGTCCACATGCTTGTTGACCCCCTCAAAGAATTCTAGTAGATTGGTGAAGTATAATTTCCCTTTATAAAAACCATGTTGACTATTCCCCAAAAAATTACGTTCATCTATGTGTCTGACAATTTTGTTCTTTACTATAGTTTCAACCAGTTTGCCCGGTACTGAAGTCAGGCCTGTAGTTGCCAGGGTCTCCTATGGACCCCTTTTTAAAAATTGGCATCACATTAGCTATCCTCCAGTCATTTGGTCCAGAAGCTGATTCAAATGATAAGTTACAGATGACAGTTAGTAGTCCTGCAATTTCACATTTGAGTTCCTTCAGAACTCTTGGGTGAATACCATCCAAATTGGGAATCTAAAACAGTGAGTTTCGTCACTGGCTTACTAGGGTACTGTTTTTATTTTGTTTGTGTTTTTACAGTGGTAAGATGCAGTACTGTACCTTTTTAAATGGAAAATACTGAAGCTCTAGGCTACTGGGATTATAGGATTTTATATAACTTGTAGGTATATTTGTACTGTATTCTGCTGTTTTTGGCTACCAGTTGGTTAGACATTATTAATACACTATGTAGCACTGTTAAGGGGATGATCATGTTGTTTTTAGTTTGGCCTGTGCCACTGTCTAGTATGGTGTAAAACAATACACAACAGTACATTCATGATTTTAATAGATATTAAACTTAATATGATTCAAATATGGTTTGGGAGACTTAATTCTAAACCCCACAAGTACAAATAATACATGAATTATTGTGTTAAAACCTCTTTTTAGATAAGATCCGCACTTCAACTCTTGTCCCATATGTGATCCCTCTTGGGATATGGGAATTTACATCAAACTGAGTGTGGTGAGCCCTTTCCTAAAGGAAGTTAACAAGTTTGTATCTTGCACAGTAGGATAGCAGAAATTGGCAATGAGCCAGCATGGTCTGGTGAACTGGGCATGTGGCTGGAAACCAAGAACTCAGGAGTTCAGATCCTAGCTCATTAAGCAAGTCACTTAATCTCTCTGTCTTACTTTTCCCATCTTTAAGATGGGGATAATAAATTTGTGTTGTGAAGTTAATATGTGCACAGTGATTTAAAGACAAACAGAGCTATGCAGGCACTAAGTATCATTGTACTTACTACATCAGAGCCTTTTAACTGTCTATTCTTTCCCCACTCTCCCAATTACAAAGATGGACTCACCTCTCCAAAGCCATTTTTGTGAGTCTGAAAACTTTCCAACATGTAAATGTTGTGTTTCTGTTGTAGTTCATAGTCTCTTCCTTGTTTCTAGAGAAGATTTATTAACCCTGTTATCTTACAGTTTTGTGGTAGCTCTGGTGGGAAAGGGGTTGTACTATAGGCTTCCTTGTTAATTCATGTGTCTGTGTCATTTCCAAGAATGGTCAAGGCTAAGGAGGGATAAAAAGATACAAAGAATGGATCAATGGGAGAGTGCATTGTACACTTCAGTCTTACGAAAGGCAGTCTGTTTTTTCCTCTTCTAGTAGAGATGATCGTATGTCATTAAAGAACATATGATTTTATACTTTTGGTCAACTAGAATAATATTCTCCCTCTTGTGGCACCTTAGAGACTAACCAATTTATTTGAGCATGAGCTTTCGTGAGCTACAGCTCACTTCATCGGATGCATACTGTGGAAAATACAGAAGATGTTTTTATACACACAAACCATGAAAAAATGGGTGATTATCACTACAAAAGGTTTTCTCTCCCCCCACCCCACTCTCCTGCTGGTAATAGCTTATGTAAAGTGATCACTCTCCTTACAATGTGTATGATAATCAAGCTGGCCCACTTTACATAAGCTATTATGTAGTGATCACTTTACATAAGCTATTACCAGCAGGAGAGTGGGGTGGGGGGAGAGAAAACCTTTTGTAGTGATAACCACCCATTTTTTCATGGTTTGTGTGTATAAAAACGTCTTCTGTATTTTCCACAGTATGCATCTGATGAAGTGAGCAGTAGCTCACGAAAGCTCATGCTCAAATAAATTGGTTAGTCTCTAAGGTGCCACAAGTACTTGTTGTTCTTTTTTGATACAGACTAACACGGCTACCACTCTGAAATCTATTTCCACAGACCTTTCCAAACAATTGTGCACTTAGAGTTAGCTGTGAGTTTCTGGTGTTCCATGGAGTCTATATAGAGGCAGCAGCTATTTTAATGAAAAATGGCAAATTTTTCTTATGATTA